GTTGTCTGCCCCCACACCCCACACCCCATGGGTGCCCTAGTCCTGTTGTCTGCCCCCACACCCCATGGGTGCCCTGGTCCTGTTGTCTGCCCCCAAACTCTCCACACACAGCCCTGAAGCTTCTTGATTTTCTTCAGTCCTAAGCATTGACCCCTAGATCCCTGCCTACTCCTCAACCCATTCTTTATGGTTCCTTCCTAATTTCCTTCACTATCTCTAAATGTATTTTTTATTCTCTTCCTTTAGAACATGTGGGCAACTGTTGTGTGACAAACCCTCCTAAATGGGTAAATGATTGGCTCTTGTGTCCTTTTCAACACCAGTACCTAAACCATGATTGGCTACAAAATTCATATTTAAAAAGGCTTTAATGAATAAATGGTATGTCGACACACAGGATAACATCTACACATAATAATTATAAGCATAGTGTTTGTGAGGAATAAGGTGATAAAATATATTAGCAAAGCATATGTATAATTCGTTTATAGCTATAAAAGAAATAAGACTTTATGGACTCAGAAGTAAAGTCATTAAAATACATTTTCACATAAGGGCAATTAAAATATTTTCCACTTTTATGATTTTTCCAATATGCATGGCTCTACTATAACTAAGGAGGATAATAGGATGTACCTCCCTCTGTGGTGAGTTTCAGCTGAAGCATCCTAAAGTACAAGAGCACCCTGCAGTACATCAGCACCCTGCACTATGTGAGCACCCTGTAATACATGAGCACCCTGCAGTACATGAGCACCCTGCAGTACATCAGCACCCTGCACTATGTGAGCACCCTGTAATACATGAGCACCCTATAATACATGAGCACCCTACAGTACATGAGCACCCTGAACTACATGGGCACCCTGCACTACATGAGCACCCTGTAATACATGAGCACCCTGCAGTACATGAGCACCCTGTACTACATGAGCACCCTGCAGTACATGAGCACCCTGTAATACATGAGCACCCTGCAGTACATCAGCACCCTGCAGTACATCAGCACCCTGCACTACGTGAGCACCCTGTAATACATGAGCACCCTGAAGTATATCAGTACCCTGTACTACATGGGCAACCTATACTATATGGGCACCCTGCACTACATGAGCACCCTGCACTACATGAGCACCCTGTAATATATGAGCACCCTGTAATACATGAGCACCCTGCACTACATGAGCACCCTGTAATACATGAGCACCCTGCAGTACATGGGCACCCTGCACTACATGAGCACCCTGCACTACATGAGCACCCTGCAATACATGAGCACCCTGCAGTATATGAGCACCCTGCAGCACATGAGCATCCTGCACTACATGAGCACCCTGCAGTATATGAGCACCCTGCACTACATGAGCACCCTGCAGCACATGAGTACCCTGCACTACATGAGCACCCTGCAGCACATGAGCACCCTGCACTACATGAGCACCCTGCAGCACATGAGCACCCTGCAATGCATGAGCACCCTGCAGTACATGAGCACCCTGCAATGCATGAGCTTCTTGCAGTGCACAGGCGCTCTTGCAGAACATGGACAAAGGAGGAAGAGAATGGTTTTCCTAGCACTTCTAAATTCAGAGTCATAAGGTAATAGAAATCACTTAATTTGTACATATCTAGGTGAGGTTAATCTTAAATAATTGAAAGGAAGCTGAAGGAAAGAGGGTAGTGGAGCTGTACAGAGTCCTAATTAGAGATTTTGTTTTTGCCTCACAGTGGTACAAAAGTTGTTATGCACTCAGTATAAGCTACTCTTTGAACACTGAATTTGAGTGTGTGTGTTTTTTCAAGTTAAATCTGTTTTCTCTCTATTCCTGTCTTCTCTCTATCTCTCTGCATCTCTGTGTTTGTCTCAGTGTCTGTGTCTCTGTCTCTTTCTGTGTCTGTCTCTCTCTCTGACCGTCTCTCTTCCTCCTTCCCTCCCCGCCTTTTCCCTGTTTTGTGGTCTTGATGTGTAGCTAAGACTGACTTCAAAGTCATGGCATTCTTCCTTAAACAAATTCCATGAGCAAGGAATCACATCTGACAATTGTATTTTCATGCTGAGCATTTATTGATTGGTACAGGTATTCAAAAATTACACATCACATGAGATATTCCATACTTTAATTTTAAATAGATGTTGAGTGACCTGATTTTGTCCAACAATTGGCCAATATGCCATTGGCCATGCTAAACTCTGATATCTGGTATGTTAACTATACTTTTTTTCTACAATGTTTATTTTCAAATATTCATGTTAATATTATATATACACACACCATTCCACCCCTCTCTTGGCCCCCTCTAACTCCTCACATGATTCTCCCTCACTCTCTCAAATTATTGACTTCTTTAATTATTACTGGTATACACATGCAAACACAAGCTTTTGCGTCCATGTAGTATATATATTTGCATGTGTATGTACAAACTACTGAGTTCATTTAGTGTTCCCTATATTATATGCATGCTTAGCACTGACAACTGATATTGGATGACCTATCAGGGGCCTCTTCTTGGAGAGCACTGATTCTCCCTCTCGTGGCGGGCACTAATTGTCTGTTTCTCCTCACCTATGTCTGGGACTTTGTGAGATCTCCCCATCTTCACTGGCATGGCAACTGGTGGTATAATATTAACACTGTCATGAGCATCTGTGTGACTGTCTGACTTTGTGTTTATTGGGACATTACCACCTCTGAGGGAAGATCTTCCATAAAGCAAACATGGGCACCTGCAGCCTGCAAGCCTGCAGGGCAGTAGGTGGAGTCTACGCCATCCCTTCATCCGGCGCTGAAATTTGGTTTGCTGATCCAGGATGCAGGGAGACTGGTGTTTAATTTACAGCTCTGCATGGTAAAGGCAGCTGTAGCTGTCTGAGCTTCTCTGGATGCGCCAAGGAAACGACAGGGCCTACATGGCTGTCCAGATGAAGCTTCTCCTCCCAGGGGCAAAGGGACTTGTAGGGTTTCCTGGGATAAGGAGGGTGTGGATATTAAGCTGGTGTGAAATGTCTAAAGTCCTGTCACTAGATTCAGATGGAGGGATCCTGAAACCCACAGAAAGACACGAGTAGGGGATGCATAATATCAGGTTCCAGAGGGCAGAGAGTGGGTCTCACTTGGCCATTTAATTGAGGAAACTTCAGAGAGGAGGAGTTCTGTTAGAGGATCAGGGCAAGGGTCATGTAGGCATTGTTTGAGAACAGCAATCAGCCTTTTCTCATGGTAGAGCTCACAGGACCACAAAACACAAGTGTACTGTGCCTTAGAGAATCACCCTCAGCCTCTCTGACCTGCTTTCCCCATGGCATCCTCACATGGGAATAACACAAGAGACAAATGGGGAAGTCATCAAGACTATGCTCCCTGATGGGAGCAGCAGGTCCCAAGTGGAAGGTACAAGAAGGAATTAAACACTTAACCAATTCTGTCTTCTCAAAGCTCATGAGGAACTAGATGTCGTGACTTCCGAGTTGAGAGTGTTTGCTACTTCAAGTCAATGTTGCACCATTTCCTGAGACCAAGGAGAAAGCCATCATCTACAGGGAAAAGATTAGCACAAGCCGAGGTTACCATTCGGATGTAGTTAAGAGAAGTGTCGATTTTGACCACAATCCATGCATTAAGGTTGTTCATCATGTCAGCTATGTGAGGACAGTTTGTCTTGGCACTGTAGTAGTTTGAATGTATTTAGCCCCCATAATCTCAGAGGGAATGGCACTATTAGGAGGTATGACATTTTTGGAGTGCATATGGTCTTGTTGGAGGAAGTGTGTCATGGTGGGGACAGACTTTGAGGTCTCCTTTGCTCGGGATACCACCCAGTGTCTCAGTTGACTTCCTGTTGCCTACAAGATATAGAACTCTCAGCTACTACTTCCCACCACATCTTCCTGCCTGCTGCCATGCTCTCCACTATGACGATAATGGATGAACCTCTGAAACTGTAAGTCAGTCACCCCAATTCAATGTTTTCATTTATAAGAGTTGCAGTGGTCATGGTGTCTCTTCACAGCAATAGAAACCCTTACTAAGACAGCACCCCAGCAAGGTCTAAATGACGTCAGACAAGTAAACTTGTTCAGTTGTAACTTTGTTTCCAGTGTGAATCAAACCTTATTGAACTCTTTATAATCCCACGGTTTCCCCTTTTCCTTTGGATAAGAAAACTCAGATCACTACACATAAATTAAGGAAGGAAACTGGCAAGCACAGTCGCGCCCCCTCATTTTACAAATAGAGAAATTGACGACAGACTTTAAAGGAGTTGCCCTCGACACCAGTGCTGACTAAGAGCAAAGCAACTCCCGAGACTCCGCATTTACTTGTGGGATCTGCTCCAACGTTTGCAGCCTTGCTGGAATGACACCCCAAGTCTGAAACGATTCTGAAAATAGCAAAGAAGTAGGCAGGGTTGGGTTTTTTTTTTTTTAACAATGCTAATCAGAAGTTACAGTCTTCTCTACGTGAATGTCAGAGAGGTTCTCACAAAGCAAGCTTGGAGAGCGTGTAGGAAGTTAATTACCTCCTCTAGAATTCCTTAGTCATTGCCCTTGTAGCCTGAGGCACCTTGAAATACAGCTGTATTTAGTAAGAATATCAGAAGACTTCAGATGTATGTTGCGGAGAACCTTGTCCACTCATTCAGGGTCTTCTGTTCTGACAAAGTTCAACATTTAGGGCCTGCCCTTGTGTTTATTTAAATAGAGTTAAGACTATAAGAGAACATTTTAATTGAATTAAGAATTGCTATTCTCTGCTTGAAGTTAACATGGAAATACAAACATATGTGTTAAAGTGGATATCTAGGATGAAACTGAGTAGACTTAAAAACAAAAGAAAGGCTCATCTGTCTTAATGTATGTCTTCCAGTAACCTGTGGTAGCACAGGTAAATGGTTTCTTTGGGTAAAGCTTGTGTCAACAAAGAATTCTGGCAAGATGAAAATCAATTAACCTGGCAGTGTGATGTCACTTTTCTCAGTATCTTTTAAAGAGATGGCACAACACTCTATATAAAACTTTACCTGGAAACGGATTGGGAAGAGGAGCGTGACTATGTCATCCAGACAAGGTGATAAGCTACCCAGAGGAGTAGAAAGTGGAGAAGGCAGAAGGCTGAAGGAGAGAAAGTAAATTCACTCTGCCTTGAAGCTTTGTAAGCTGCAGCATCATGCTTGATTCTTTGGACCTTCCCTTGTAACAGAGTTGGCAGCCCACCTGAAAGACAGATGTGGGAGGACCACAGTTACTGCACTCTGAGCACCAACAGCAACAGCCTAAGAGCATTGCTAGCAACAAGTAGGGAATCCTCAGCCAACAGATAACAACCCATGTCTGTTCTATACCAGACAGATGGCATAACAAAGCATACTCATAGGTCCCTCATCCACCCTCTGACACCCACTGAGGAAGCTTATTTCCCATTAGTAGCTGGCTAAGTCTGCCCTAACAAATACCACCATAGACTGGGTACTTTAAGCAACAAGCATCTTTTGGTGTATACTTCAGGAAGATGGAAATCTGAGGTCAGGGTTCTGATGAGGCCTTATCCTTTCTTGCAAATGGCTTCTCTCTGTGGCCTTTTTTTTAAGCCTTCTCTCTGTGCATGCGCATGGAGATTGTTGGAACCTCTTACACATACAGGGGCACCTGTTTCATGGTGATCGCCCCTTCCTCTTGATTTTTTTCCAAATCTATTTGCTTCCCAACTGTTCCATCTCAAAATACCTTTGCTTTGGGACTTATGGCCAAGTGTGCGAGTATTACAGCTAAGCAGACATTCAGCCTGTAGTGGTAGGAATGGGAACGGCCACCATAGGCTCATATAGTTGCATGCTTGGTCCTCAGCTATTGGAAGGAGTAGGAGGTGTGGCCTTGCAGAAGAAGATAACTGGGGGTGAGCTGTGAGGCTTCAAAAGCCCATGAAATTCCAGTTGACTCTCCTCTTTCCACCTTCTGCTTTCAGGGCTGTCCCATTGCCATGCCAGCCTGCCTGCTGTCATGATGGTCACAGATTCACCCTCTAGAACTGTGAGCCCCCATAAGCCATTTCTTCTGTAAATTCTTCAGTTATAGTATCTCTTCCCAGCAATAGGAAAGTGACAAAGACAAAGTAACAACATTGATACAAAGTACCAAGTACGAAATTGGTACAAAGTACAAAGTTGTGGCAGGCCTGACTGCTGGTTTTTAGAGGAATGTGGGAGTCTTGGGGACTTTGGACTAGAAATGTGGTTGAATGCTGTAAGTAAGACTTAACAGGCCATCCTGGTAAGAAATTGGAAGACAATAGTGCTGAGAGCAATGGAGAGCCATGGAGGCCCAGTTCAAGAGGTTTCAGTGGGGAACGATATACGCAAACCGGCTACAAACCATTCTTTTGATAAGTAGATAAAGATTGAGGTGTTGAATTTTTTTGTTCTTGCCCTAAGAATTTGCCTGTAGCTAAATTGAAGAGTTTTGGATGAATTTTATTAGCAGAGGACATTTCAATACAGCCTAACATTGACTCTCTCATGTGGTTATTGGTGATAACTATTACGCAGATCTATAATGAAAAGGAGAAAGTGGGATAAAAAATATAAAATGTACACTTTTAGGGAAGAAAAAAAACAAGGAAATTTAATGATGGAGCCAAGGTTTGTGCTGAAAGAATGAAGGAAGTGGTGCCCTTGTGGCAAAACATTACCCAGCTAATCCTACAGCACTTGAAAAGAAAAGGTCTAAGGAATTACCTGTTTCTAAAGAGCAAGGCCAAATCGAGGTGATGCAAATGTGATTCAAGAAGGGGCCCAGATTCCATTCCAAGCAGGCAGTGGAAATTGGCAGCAATGACCAGGAGATTCTGGCTTTTGAGTCACAAAGGATACAAAAGTAAAGGGGCTGTGAAATCTTCCACAGTTAAGGAAAGCTTTTTGAGGCCATGCATATGGCTGTGGAGTCTCTGCATGGAGACTGGGACATGTCACTGTGTGAAGCTGTGAAAGTGAAGCCTGATCTGTGTTGGAGACTCCAAGATGTTGGAAACGTCAGAACAGTAAGATATATGCCACGGAGAGTTACAGATAGGGAGTGGAACCAGCCCAGGGAAGAAAGAGAAGTGTGTTGCAATCAGCAAAGCTGAAATGACTGAGATTGGAAGACCCATGTAGGCATGTTGACATTATCAGACAGAGCTACAGGATTTGGAATGTATCCTGGCAGATTTCTATCTTGTTTTGGTCCACTATTTCCTTACTATGCTCCTATTTCTACCTTTCAAAATGATAGTGTATATTCTATGTCATTGTGTATAGGAAGTGTGTTTTCATTTTGTGTGTGGGGGGGTTACAATTAAGAGATTGCCTTGAATCATAGCAGAAATGTCATACTTCAGACTTTTTAACACTGTTAAGAGTGAAAGTCCAAGGAGAATTTTGAAGTTGGACTAAATGTATTTTGCATTATGATATGACCACCAACATATAAAGACAAAAGGAGTAGAATGTGGTGGTTTGAATGAGAATGGCCACCATAGCTTCAAATATTTGAATACTTGGTCCTTGGTTGTTGGAACTGTTTGAGAAGGATTATGGGGTGTGGCCTTGTTGGAGGAGGTATGCCACTAGAGGTGGGCTTTGAGGTTTCAAAAACCCATGTAATTCCAGTTTGCTCTCTCTGCCTCCTGCTTGTAGGTCAGATGTAATCTCTCAGCTGCTGCTCCAGGACCATATCTGCCTGCTTGCTGCCATGCTCCCCACCATGATTGTCATGAATTCACCCTCAGAACTCTAAGCTCCAATAAGCTCTTTCTGTAAGTAACCTTGCCCATGGTGTCTCTTCACAGTAGTAGGACAGTAACTAGGACACAGGCCATGGAATTCTGTATTTAATTTATGAATTTTCAGCAACTAAAATGCAGAGACTGAGTGTGTTCTATTTGAAAGTACAAAGACATGGGTAAATGATGCATGAAAGAGTGTGAGTAGTGAATATAGAGAAAAGAATCTGAACTCAATTTACTTTTAAAAAGAAATATATACCCCCATGTCTTAGTTAGAGTTTCTGTTTCTGTGAAGAGACACAATGACCATGGAAACTCTTAAAAAGGAAAACATTTAATGGGGCCTGGCTTATAGTTTCAGAGGTTTAGTCCATTATCATCATGGTGGGATATGGCATCATGTAAGCAGACATGGTGCTGGAGAAGGAGCTGAGAGTTCTACATCTTAACAGGAAGTAAATTGTCTCACTGAACATGGCTTTAGCATATATGAGACCTCAAAGCCCATCTCCATAGTAACATCCTTCCTCCAATAAGGCCTCACCTCCTAATAGTGCCACTCCCAAGATATAACAAATAACAAGTAAAGCTGTGTACAATTTAGCTCATGATTGTCTTCCATTCTTTACTGAGAAATTGGGAAACTCTTAGTCAGTAGAAGTCATGAAAAATGCCCCTTTTATAGTAGGGTATGGTGGTTTGAATAGGAATGGCTCCCATAGACTCATGTATTTGAATTTTATTTGTTATAGCTTGGGCCTAGAATATGCCCCAAAGACTCATGTGATGATATTTTTGTCCCTAATGCAGCAGTATTCAGAGGTGAGTAGATCATGAGGGTTCCAACTTCAGCAATGGATTAATACACTAGTGGATCCTGTTGTCAAAAAATCACAGACCCTACCACAAAAGGAGTAAGAGATAGCTTACTCTGGAGCCAAATACAAGTGACCATAGCCAAAACCATGGATTTAGGTTACCTCTCATTTTTATGTAGTAGCTGTTTCATAAAATAGTAACAGAACAAAGAAATCTATGAATTAAGGCATTTTTAAAACAAAGTGGTGTTTTAAACATCAAACCTCAGGTAGGCAGGTTCTGGCAAAGCCCCTGCCACAGATCTTAGATGCTATCAGATGACTTTCTTAGCCTTTGGCTTAATGGAAGCTAAGGGTCTGTTTATATATTCCAAAAAGAAATATCTTTACCTGATAGTCACAACCATGTTAGGTCAAACACAGTTATGCCATAAATGGCTATTAAGGCAGCTAAAGATAGCCCAAGATATTGGGCTCCTGACCCTCAACATTTCACTTCTCCACAATGACTAACACTCTCATCAATCAGTCAACATGGTAGAATCTTTATCACATTTGCAGCTTTTTCTGCCACAAATTAACTTAAGTTCGGGATACATACTACTAGGAGGTGATGGAAACTGTAGGAAATGGGGCTTAGTTGGAGAACACAGAATATTGTGACACTGTGGGCACTCTAGTTCCCTTTCCTCTCTTGACTTCCCACAACCACAAGCTAGTCTACTCATCACATCCTCCTGCAATGATGTTCTTGTTCCTAAGATGTCCAAAACAACAGGCCTAAGTGATCATGAAGGAAAAGCTCTGAAATCATAAAACCAAAACCTTCCTTGCTTTATTTTTTCAGATATTTTACCACAGCAAGGGAAAGACAAATACCATTGTGTCTGTGTATTCACAACACTTGGCTTTCCATAGAATTTCAGTGTTCTCTGTCATTCTGCAAGGAAACTTCTGCCTACTAGGCCAGCATAGTGCAGAGTTCAAGTAAGGTCCTCGTGTGTGTGTGTGTGTGTGTGTGTGTGTGTGTGTGTGTGTGTGTGTACTAAAGCTCCAACTCAGTGAAGCATACCTTTCTGTAGTTTATAGTGCATACCCTAATGAAATGTAGCACAAGTCAATATGTAGATGACATTCATATCCATGTCCATCCTAGCAGATGATATCAGCAGGACCTAAACGTACAATGAAAAGCAATGCTGCAAACCAAGCCTTGCTTTGTCCTAAGACTAAGAACCTGAGAGAAGATCTTTGAACTTCCAAGGAGTCCAGGATGAGGCAATGAGGAAAATTGGAGAATCTAATACTCAAAGAAATAAAAAAAATAAATAAATGTTTTGAGAAAAATGTGATGGCCTGTATAAAATCTGAGAGGTGGAGTAGGATAGAGCTTGAAAACTTCAGTTTGCCTCATAAAGAACTATTTGGGGATTTTGTTTCTGTTTTCATTTTTTTATTGATAAATTTTCTATTTTTTTGTAATTCAGATTTGGAATGGGGTTATTACTAAATCAAAGATTAATAACAAAAACAATCAGTGCTTCCTGTTAATATTGCTAATAAATTCAGCATCTCTTCAGTTGTAATCATGTCTATATTTTACTTTTTGAGAATTTCATATATATTTACTGTATTTGCATCATTTCTTCCCCCTCACTCCCTCCAACTACCCCATTCCATCTCAAATTCATAACCTCTTTCTTTTTAATTATTATTGTTACATACATCAACTTATAAATACAACCTGCTGAGTCATTTAGTGTTGCTCATATACACATGTGTTTAGGATTGAATGGATACCTAGAGCATCTAGGGCTAATATCTTGTGCCAAGCTGAGGTTTTTTTTTTGTTGTTGTTGTTGTTGTTGTTGTTTTTTATCTCTTAAAAACCATGGAATCCTTAAGGCTCACAAGGACTTGAACTTCAAAAGAAGATTTTCACTTGACCAGAAAACAGGAAAACAGGTGAGAAAGGCTCATGAGGAGCTTTTCAGCCGCAACGAATGTTAAGGATTTATTATGAAGGTAAAGGAGGAGGGAGGAATTCAGATCATGAATAGGAGGCTTGTTGTGACATATCCCATGGAAAGGGGTGGGTCCCTCTCACCGACAGGAAATAACCTTTCTTTAGCTCTTGTATGGACTGTTGCCAGTTTGAATCTAAACCAGGACAAATCAGTATGACATGGTATTCTCATGATGACAGTGACACAATTAGCCCCCAAGAATAACTAACCGGAGCCTTTACTCACTTTTTATGACATGGAGTTTATGATCACAGAAAACTCTTTCAAATGGTTTTGTTGTTGTTGCTGTTGTTAAAATATTTATTTTTATTTATATGCACTCATATGTGTGTTTATCTGTATATGAGTATGTGCATGTATGGTCAAACGACACCAGAGATCAGATGATAATGTCAGATCTAGCAAACCTGGAGTTACAGGTGGCTCTGAGCTGCTAGAGGTGAGTGCTGGGAACCATACTCCAGTCAGTCCTCTGGTGCAGCAGCAAGTGCTCCTGACCACTGTCAAGTAGTTTTACTAAAAGGACAGAGCTGTGTGGCACCATTCTGTGGTTTAGAGACTCAGGTATTAAGTTATTTTAGTTAGGGTTTTGATTGCTGTGAAGAGACTACATGGCCACAGCAACTCTTATAAAGGAAAACATTTAATTGAGTGGTGAGTTACAGCTTCAGATGTTCAGTCCATTATCATCATGGTAGAACATGGTGGTGTACAGGCAAACGTGGTGCTGGAGAAGTAGCTGAGAGTCCTACATCTTACAGGCAACAGGAAGTAGACTGAGACATTGGGTGGTATCTTGAGCATATTTGAGCCCTCAAAGCTTGCCTCCACAGTGACACACTTCCTCCAACAAGATCACACCTACTCCATAAAGCCACATCTCCTAATAGTCCCACTCCCTTTGGGATTATGGGGGCCAAACTATAACATTACACTCATACTATCACATTCCATTCCCTGGCCCCCATAAGCTTGTAACAATATTATAATGCAAAAATGCTTTCAGTCCAACTTCAAAATTCTCCATATCCTATCACAGCCTCAATAATGTTTAAAAGTCCAAAGTTCAAAGTCTCTTTGGAGATCAATACAATCTATTAACTGCAATTCCCCTACAAAATCAAAATTAAAAAAAAACAGATCACATACTTCCAACACATAATGGCACAGGATATACAATGCCATTCCAAAACATAGGAAAGGGAGCATAGTGAAGAAATTCTGGATCAAAGCAAGACCAGAAACCAGCGGGGCAAACTCCAAACTCTTCACCACAAAGTCTGATGTCAAAATTCTCTTCAGATCTCCAGCTCCTTCCAGCTTTGTTGGCTGCAACACACTTCGTTCTCTTGGGCTGCTTCAACTCCCTGTTAGCAGCTCTCCTCAGCAGATATCCCACAACTCTGGCATCACTAACAGCTTGGGGTCTCCAAGGCAATCCAGACTTCAACTTCACAGCTTCACACAATGGTCTCTCTAGGCTTCCATTCAGGGATACCTGTGGCACATGCCTGGCCTCGGGTGTTTTTCTTAGACACAGGGGTAAATTCTATAGGCCCTTTCTTCTATCCTTAAGTCCAGAACCAGGTACCCAAAGCTGCCAATTTCTGCTGCTTGCTGGGGCTGGAATATGGCCCCCTCATTTAATTCTCTCTTCACCAGCTTTCTGTTTTTGTTACCTTCACTGCCTAAGCTTGGCTGTCCTAGAACTTGCTTTTTGTACAAGGCTGGCCTCAAACTCAGAGATCCACCAGCCTCTGCCTTCTAAGTGTTGGGATTAAAAGCATGCACCACGACACTGTACTCTAAGTTTCCCAAGTTGGAAACTTAACTGGGTGGGATCTTGCCCTGAGGTCACCACTCCTTTTATTCCATTTCTTAATCCATTTATTTCCTTGAACACAGTATTTAGCTCTAGTCCACTTCCTGGTGCCCCTTTTCTCAGTCTGTACATTTTGCATTTTTATTTGTTCAGCTTGCTCCTTTCCATTATAAACTTTTATCAGAGTTAAGACTAATGACCACACAACAGAGTCTGTATTAAGCTATTTTGAGATTTTTCTCTGCCCACAGAATTCATCCAAAACTCTTTACTTTAGCCTCAGGTAAACTCTTTGGACAAGGGCGAAAAGCAGCCATTCTTCACCTATATTCTTTTATCATTAACAGAACTATTCTATTTCCCACTCTCAGGGAGATCCATGTCTCCCCCTAGTCCCTTTTTCTATACATAAACTCTCTAGGCCTATGTATTGTAGCTTGGTTATCTATTAGCTAATATCCATATATAAGTGAATACATACCATATTTATCTTTCTGGGCATGGGTTACCTTACTCAAGATGATTTTTTATAGTTCCATTCATTTGCCTGAAAATCTCTTGATGTCATTTTTTAAACAACTGAGTAATACACCATTGTGTAAATGTATAATATTTTCTTTATCCATTCTTCTGCTGAGGAACATCTAGATTCCAATTTCTGACTATTATGAATGAAGTAGCAATAGACATAGTTAAATGTGTGTAAATGTGATGGCTTTGTGTTTTATCTTATTCTATTTTATTTGGTTATGTTCCATTGTTATATCTTAGAAGGCTATACTTTTCTAATGAAAGAAAGGAATTGGATCCGATGGGTGAGGAGATGGGGAAGAACTGGGAGGAGTGGAGAGAAGGGAAACTATGATCAGGACATATTGTATGAGACAAGTGTTTATCAATTCTAGGAGTTTACTGGTGGAGTCTTTAGGGTCTTTTATGTATTGAATTATATCACCTACAAGCAAGTATATTTTGAATTACTTCCAATTTGTATCCCAGTTCTGTCTCTTGTCAAATCACTCTAAGACTCCAAGCACTGCGCTGAATAGGACTGGTGAAAGTGGACATCCTTCTCTTGTTCTTGATTTAGTGGAAATGCTTTGAGTTGTTTTTTTTTTTCATTTAGCTTAATGTTATTTGTTTGTCATAGATAGACTTTATTGTTGAAACATGTTCCTTCAATCACTAGCCCATTTGTGACTTCTATCCTGAAGAAAAATTGGGTTGTATCAAAAGCCTTTACTATGACTACTAAAATGATCATGTGGTTTCTGCTCTTAAATCCATATGCGATTAATCAAATCTATTGATTTACATATGCTAGACAATCCCTTAATCTCTAGAGTAAAGCCAAATTGATGATGATGAATGACTTGTTTGCATATTCTTGAATTTGGGTTGCAAGAAAATTTGCATCTATATTCATCAGGGAAATGATTGGTCTATAATATATCTGTTGTGTCATTTTCCAGTTTTGGCATCCACATAACACTGGCTTTGTAAGGAGTTTGCAAGAGTTATTTCCTCCTCTGTTTTATGAAACAATTAGAGATGTGTTAGCATTAATAATTCTTTAAAGATCTGGTGGAATTCTTCAGTGAATTCTTTTAGACCTTGGCCTTTTTCAATTGGGAGATATTTTATTACTACTTCAATTTCATTATTATAAATCTGTTGATATTATTTATATCATCCTCATTAACTTTTGCAGGTCATATTCATCTAGAAATTCATCCATAGATGAAAAATATTTCCTATTTTTCCAGTTCAGTGGAGTATATGATTTTTGTTTCTATTTAATTAATTGATGTCTTCACAATTACTTGTCTGTTGAATTGGCCTATAGAAAAATGGATGGCTGAGTCTTGTTGGGGTTGCCAGGGCCTAGGCTATGACCCTAAGAAGTCCGATATCATAAAAATAGAAGCAGCAGGAGCAGAAGAATGATGATCATTACTCATGATTTAAGAAAAACTACAGCAGAATGGTTAGGGATGTCACTAGCAGCTGTGGCAGTCTCAGAGTTACCAAGAGAAGCTGACATTCTGAGATATGTCCAAAGTCATAAGGACAGCAGATGCCCTCGTTTCTCTCACAAGAGCAGGCCAATGTAGTAAAGATAATCAGGATGCTCTGTGCTCTTAGATGTGCCTTGCTCCTTTGCAAATGGTGGTTAGGTTTTTGCCAATGATTCTTGGACAAGATAGGAAGCAGGGAGCTATATCCAACCTCAGATCTTGCTGAGTCAGAAAGGGGTTCTGTCGAAAGGCATGTGTAAGCTCCCAAAATCTGCTATGTGATTTAACCAGCAGTTACCAATGTGGAGAGGTTTGGAGATCAGTGTGGGACCAGATGTGGTGTTCTGAGGTTTTGGTGGCCCACTAAAAATCATTGCATTAAATGGGGAGGATCCTATTGCTCCCATGAGACTTTATGCACCTGCAAATTGGCAACTGAACTATCACAAAGTATGATCTGTCCCCTCACCCATCAATGCCTGGGGCAGGTGGGAAGCTGCCTGCTTACCTACCCTGACATCACAAGAGCTGGAAAGCAGGCCCTGCACCTTGCCTGGTAAACACAATAGAGCCAACCCTATAGGTAGAGGTGTGAGTGAGCCAGCCCTAGTAGTGAAAAAAGGAAAAGCTGTCCCCATTTCTTATCTGTCTTGAGGTGGCATGGGCAGGGTAGTTGCCTTCCCCTGACCCATCAGTGCCTGGGGCAAGTGGGAGAGCTGACCCTGTGGTCATAAGAGTGGGAGAGCTGTTCCTAACCCCTACTAGCTGCAACACTTGGGAGAGCAGGCCCTGAACCTTGTCAGGACAGCACAATAGAGCCAACCCTGTTAGTGCAGGTGTGGGTGAGCCAGGCCCAAACTTGTGAGCATGGGAGAAGTGTCGCCATCACTCACATGTCTTGTGGTGGCATGGGCAGGGGAGAGATCCCCCAGCCCCAGTCAATGCCTGAGGCAGGTGTGAAAAGTGGCCCTGAGGTCACAAGAGCAGGAGAGCTGTCCCTGCCCCCCACCAGCTGCAACACTGGGAGAGCAGCCCCTGCACCTCACCTGGGCAACACAGTAGAACCAACCTTGTTGGCTGAGGCGTGGGTGAGCCAGC